TGCTTTTCATCCCTTGCTCATTGCACTATGTGCCTCAGCACTCTCTGGATAGGACGCTTGGCAGAGACAGTGAGATAAGAGTCAGATGAACAGCAAGATTAATGAGAAGAGAAAGGAGGAGACATGGAGTAGTCATTCTCTTCCAGCGCCGGCCACATGATAAAGACAGGTTAGAGTTATTCTAATGTCATCACAGAGAGACTAGAAATCTCCAGCAGAAAATTTGGAAACTAGCTCTCCCTAAAATTGCTCCATCTGGGGGTGGACACCTTGGAGTCTGCACTCAGCTAGAACTCCTGCACCCCACCCTACAGTGACCCTTACGGGGAGAAACTGAAACCGCAGCTAAAAGGGGTTCCAGCACAGCCAGTGGTTGGGGCCCAACTAAGTTACATCTTGCAAAGGATACCGAAACAAACTTCACAAAGTTTTTCAACCATATAAATAAAGAGCAGGTAAAAAAGTGCTGGGGTCACAATGCAATGAAGATAGGGGAGAGGTTCAAGATAACCTAGCTATGGCCCAAAAGCTAAATGACTGCTTTGACTAAAGCGCCAATAAGAACAAAAGTTAGGCAAGGTAGTTCATGAAAATGAGGATGTGGAAATGGGAATTACTACAACTGAGATGAGAGCAAACCTCAAGGAACACAGTACATTCAAGGCAAGGGGACCTGAGAGTCTCCATGCCAGAAATTTAAAAGGACTGGCACATGAAACTGCAAGTCCAGAAATCATATTTTTTGAGGGGGGTTGGATCAGATGACCCTTGAAGTCCGTTTCAACCCTATGATTCTGTTAAAGGTGGTACCATTGGACTGAAGTAATACTATATTAGAGAAAGGAGAAAACAGCAATGCAGGTAACTACAGGCCCATTAGTTTGACCTCAGTAGTCAAACAAGACTTCAGAACACATTTGGAAGAAAAGAAACATTAAAGCAATTGAATGGAAAATGGGATAAAATGCAATATGGGTTTATGAAAAGTAGATCATACCAGACTAACCTGATATCTTTCTCTGATAAGATAACTGACTTTTTAGACAAAGAAAAAACAGTGGGTCTAATCCATCTGGACTCAGTAAAGCATTTGACATGTGGCCACATGAAAAATTCTTAATAAAGTTGGAGAAGACTGGGATTAGTGAGGAATGGAAAGGTAAGTCAAGACTGGATAAAGGGTGTTGGAAAGGGGAAGCAAAAGGCTGGAGAAAGGTTACTAGCAGTATCCCTCAAAAATCAATCATGGGACTGATCTTGTATAATATGCTAATCCTGCGACCTTGAATTAAAAAGAAAGACTGTGCTAATGAAATCTGCTGCTGACAAAGTTGAAAATATTTTCAATACAGAGGAGACCAAGGTATCCCACAAAGAACTGGCTGACCTTGAGATCCAGGAAAATAGAAACTATAAGAGCATACACTGGAGTACTTACAACAAAAGCTTCTGCTGTAAGACAGAAGCCTCTCAGTTGGAAACAAGTGAGGTGGAGAAGGACACAGGAGTGCTACCTGACTTCACTGTGAGAAATAGGGATGAAAAAGCAAAAGAAATCCAACAACTGGAAGCTGAGCTTATGACAATGTTTTATAAATAGAGCTGGAGTGACTTGATGGCGCAGGGGATACGTGCCTGCCTCTGACAACGGTCAGCACCAGCTACGTAAGAGGAAGGCGTAAGAGTCCCACAACAGTAGAGATGGGAAAATCTGTCCCACCCCACCTCTACTTTAGGTCTTGTCCTGGTCTCTAATCATAGAAGTAGGGTCGGAAGGGACTTTGTAGATCTTCAAGTCCGAAATCTAGAGACCCAGTTAGTAGTTCTCCTGTATACTGAGTCATGAGGTTTAACAGTCATGAAGCAAAATGTGTGTGACCTTGGATATATATTTAAGCCATTTTTAACCAGTACACTACTTTCTTGAGATCTAGTAGCAGAATCACTCTTGCCCCTCTGCTCAGTCAGACCTATCACCTTTGGAGTCAGGAAGGAATTTAATCTTTGATCAGATTGGTATAGACTGTGGGGGGTTTTGCCTTTCTTTGAGGGGGGGTTCTCTTCCTGGGGTCTCCCAGGGGTACATTAACAACTTTTGCAGCCATGGGATGTTGGCTGCCATGGCCCCTGCTTTACCTGTAGCAGGTGAAGGTGTTATGTCGTGTCAGGGTTGACTGCATAGTTTTGCTAAGAGGTTAGACAATGGATTAGCATACAATGGTTTGGATAGGAATGATCCTGCCTCAGGCAGGGGGTTGGACTAGATGACCTCTAGGTCCCTTCCAGTCCTACTTCTCTATGATTCCGATTTCATTGAATGTCCTGCTTGTGCTGCTCTGTGCCAGGCTAGCATCCCAAGAGATTCAAGTCTTCTATTTATTCACAAACCTCAATCATACCAGCTTCCCTCATGCCAGCCTTCTCTCTTACAATGCCTCATCCCTGACACAAGCCTTCATGGCTGTGTAAAACTGCCAGCTGGAATTAGCAGGTGTCACTCAGGTGGGAACTGGAACCGTCAAGCTCAGAACTTGATCTCGTGGGCTAGAGGGCAGGGCCCTAGCCCAGCACTCAGGAACCCTGGGTTCTACTTCTGGCTTTGACACTGGCCTGTGAGATGATGTTGGGCAAGTCTCTGTGCCTTAGCTTCCCTGCCTGTAAAATGAGAATAATGACAGTTTGAAGTTTCTGGATGAAACATGCCATGTAAGAGCTGGGTATTTATAACACACCACGCAACAGCCATAAGACAGCAAAAACACTGTTACAAGCTCAGCCTAACCCTAGAGGTGTCAGTCCCTATGTTCCTGAGTGTCTTTTTAAAATACGCCTCAGCCAGGATGAATACAACAGTCTCCAACACTGAGCTGTGACCACTATTCCTAACTGGAAGGTCCACCTACCTTCCTCATCTCATCCACCAGTTTAGTTTTGCCTCTTAAAATGAAAAATTCTTTAGGGCAAGGAGTGTTTATACAGCCGTATCACAAAGGGGTCCACCTGGATAAAAAGTTTTGGGAATACTACAGTCCTATTATTTAAGAGATAAATAATAATCCTGCTTGCAATCCCCTTAATGGAGCTTGAACATTTTTTCAGCAAAAAGCTTTTCCACTGAAAAAATAGGATTTCACAAAAACAAACAAACAAATAAAATAAAGATTATTGATTAAAATATTTGAGTTCTTATTTGAGATGTGAAAAATTATCAGGTTTGAAGCTTTTTCCCCCTGCAAAGTAAACCTGGATTTTTTCATGAGAAATCTATCATTTCCTGCCAAAGCAGATTCCCTTCCTGCAACTATCATTACTAATTAGACCAACTTTAATTTAGTTTTTTTGTATTTCACTGCCTCATAACACAGTGCCCTTGAGTGTTAAACTGTGACTCAAATACTGTGAATAGTATTGTGAATAGAACTAGGGTTGAGAAAATAATTTGCAATCAAAAAGGTGGTCAAAACACTTTTTTTTTGGCAAAACTTCACAACGTTGTTTATTTTCCTCTGGTGAAAGTTTAAAATATCAGCATAAAATAATCATTGGAGTTCTCAATTTTCAATTTTTTTTCAAACATTCCTAAAAATGAATATTGTATTTGACAAAGGCAGACTCTTTCATTTGCCAATTGTCTCCAAAATGTTTATAATTTTCTCATCTCTGGTCATAATTCAAAATAAAGGGCTAAATACTTTCTGCAAAAAAATCTTAGTCGTGATATTATTCAGGAACAGTTTGTTATGAGTATCTGATAATGGGAATTTGACGAGTTTTGATTAGGTACATGGATCACATGGGCCTGTTTCTGGCCCTGGCCTTCTTAAGCATTACTCTGGAGTTTCTGGTTAAACAAATATTCATATTTTGGATTTGGAATTTATTTTCCTGGATTATTGCTATCACTTACACTATTTGCTAGAATAGTCTGAAACAGCCAGTCCCAAAGGAGAGCAAATGCAGGCAAAGCAATTCAGTTAAAATATGTTTGGCAGTCTTGGACCCATTCTACGGCGAAGCATCATCTTGTAATTTTATTAATCATCAGACTAGTCCTGGCCAGAGACACCAGGCAATGTCAAAAACAGTATTTTATAATGTTGTATGGTGCTCCAGATAATGTAAGGTTGCACTTAAACCTGCGCTAATTCCTGTGAGATAGTGTGCTGCATGCTCATGGGGCTACTTGTCATTTTAGTACCTACTTGCACTTTACGAGTCAGTTAATGATTCAGTCACTCAGCCCCTTCTCTCTGGAACTCACTGCTCATAGACATTTAAAGAGTGAGTGAGTATCTGTATCTACATGTCTAAGTTCATCACTTGCTGGTTTCCACCCTTTCATGCTCATTCACAAGCTTCTCAGTGTGCACTGCAGAATTAAATTCCAGCCCAGTTTGTCCTACTGGATATTGAGGATATCAGAGATAAAAGGGGACAGATGGTACAATAAAAGAGCTGACAGGAGACTTCTCCCAGAGTGTAACTTTTAAAAAATGAATAAATTCCAACATGGGCTTTGGATCCAAACACCTTCATGCTTTGAGGACGTCAAAATCTTTCCCAGAACTCTGTGGCATGGACCTGTGCTCTGATTATTTCTCATTTCACACTTCCTATGGCTAGTCTGGGCCAATTTGCTAGAAATCACACATGGAATCATGCGACATCTGGAGAGTTTGACTAATGTTCAGATGATTCCCATTTTTCTTAAATGTTGGGTACACTTACTATACAGTCTCTGAACCTTTTGAGCTTCATCCACTACTTGGCAGGGTAGGGTGCTCTGAAATCAAACTTGTCATCGCCACACTACCCAACTGGTATAGATTTTTCCTTCGTTCATTGTGGCATCTCTGCTAAGCCAGAAAACCCTACCCTGGCATAGTCAGACTCTGAAACAGCTATCTAGCCCTACCTTCTTGATGAATTGCCTCTGAAATCCTGGCAACTCAGGTAGAAATGCTCCTACAACCTGCAGTCTGTTGATGAAGGGGGCTTACCTCGCATGACTGGATGCAGTGAATGACTGTTGGGTCTGGATACCATCGCAACCTGCCAGTGCACACAATATTCTAGAGGGAAAAAGAAAGAAAAAGAAAACTGTCAGGTGAGTCACGAAAGTAGGGTTCCCTACAAGGGTATTAGGACCATTATACCATTATACCTCTGCAATCTCAGTGCCATGTTCATTTAAATTCTGCAATAGATTTTGGTGCATTTGTTGCATAATCCCCAAGGATTTTCCTCCCAAGAATTGGTGCCCCACCGAGCTCTGTTCCCCAGCCAAAATCCTTCCAGCAGAGGAGGTCTGGATGGGACCTGTCCTTCAAGCACAGTGCTCCTGTGTTTGAAATGAACAGGGACTGAGATTTGGCACCTTAAAACAATGTGACAAAAATTAGCAAAGAATAAAGGGGAACTATAAATGACAGAAGGATGATGAAGCCAAGTGATGCACTGGCTCAATACACTGGCTTTTCACTCTCATTTCAACTCCGCCGCAGGAAACCTCAGGTTCCCAAGCAGCTGTCAGCACGTCACAAAAGCACCACATGGCTAATTGCAGAATTTGTGTTCTCTGTTCATGAGAGGCTCCTCAGAAATGGGACAAAGTGATATGGCAGTGCTTGTCAGGGCTCCAGAGCTGAAACTGTAAGAGAACTGCACATTGATAGTGAGGTGGGCCAGCAGAGCTAAACAGGGGTCTGTTGCAGAGTGGCTAGCCTGGCTCTACCCACCACTGAAGGCTGTGATTTTGCAAAGACACCCAAGTCTATTGAAAGCAGGGGCCCTGCATTTGCTTAATCATCCATTGCTTGGTTCTTCCTATTACTTAATAGCCTCTTATTTTTAATGAGTACTAATGCCCCAATCCAGTTTTCACTGGTGTTCATATCAAAGAAATCACTGACTCCAATGGTGCAGAGTCAGGCTCAGTCACACACACATGCACACACACACAAATACAGTTACCTCTGCTACTGATGAATTACAAAGTGAGTGGTTAAGACCAAATGGATACTACAGTGAAATGTGAAAAGCTTCTGAACTGAATACTCAAATCATGCTAACTCTGAAAAGCTGACTGTTAGGGCTCCACATGATTCTTTTGAGGGGAAAAACACCACACACAATTTCCTCAACGTAAAATTAAAGCAGACTTTGAAACCTGTAGTAGTAGAAACCGATGGCTAAATTGTGAAAGCATCCTAGGTGCCACACATGCAAGGAGTAATGACACAGCAGAGGAGTTATTGTTTAATAAATCATGTATTTTTTTTAAAAATGATGTAATCGATTGCAGACCTCCCTTCCCTCCCCAGTCACTCTGCCAGGGAGAATGGAAGAGCAAGGTGACATGACAGCAGTTCCTCTGTGAAAAATGCATTCTTTCAGATACAAAGACGAATGGAGAGTCTTGAACTGCTCAGTGGGTTCATTGATCAGATTAGCCAAGGATCTGGATATTCAGCCAGCTAAGAACTCCCACTGGCAGGGAATGGTCACATTTGGATAGCTGGGAAACCCAGTGGCCCCTGAAATAGGACGTTTCGACAACTGAGTGATCTGCTTGGCTTCTGTGAAGATGTACCACAGTCTGCACAAATCTCTGTGCTGGGCTTTCACCTGCTTGATGCGATGCAGTTTTTACCAATGTAGCAGCATAAAGGTACATGAGTGAGAGTGCTCACAGAGCCACTGCACAGCACTCCTGGTCTCACTGCTGTCTTTTCGACCCCTTGTCATTCTCAAACCCCTCCCCTCCACCTCTGAAACAAAATGAGTCACTCAGGCCTCTGGCAAAGTTCATTTAAATGTGCCATCAAATCTGATTTCCAATCCCAACAAGTGCCTCTCTTGCCATGCTGTACATGCATGGCAGGAGGCAAGACTGTTGGAATGAGAGCTCAGACCCTAATCGTATCCTACGTGCCAGTTCATGCTTGAAAGCATGTTGAAAGCTGGGTGCCCACAGATCCAGGGCTGCGACTGACAATCAGCTGATTTTGGGCTTGGGCTTGGGCAGGGGATCACATCGGGGTCTGGAACCATCCCTAGTGCAGCTCCTGCTGGGGCAACAATCAGGCGATTGTTGGCCCAGCAGGGACCAGGTAAGGGTCATTTGAGACCTGAGTGAGGTCCCTGGCCAGAGCTGACAATCAGCTGATGGCTGGTCTGTCAGGGACTGTCCTGAGGCTAGCTCAAGATCTCAGTGCCACCAACCCAAACTGACAATCAACTCACTGTCGGCCTGGCCACACATTAAATTTAAGGCATGTAGTATGTGTAGCTCCCTTGTTATTTATACCACAATTACCATGGTAATCACAGCATAAATGTCTATGCAAAGGGGGCCTTTGTTTAACCAGCCCCGCTTCGAATGCCCTGACATTTTGCTTCTTTTCTTATTCATCTCCTGACTTTTCTCTTCTCTATTCTCACCCCCAGTTCGAACCTCTCCAGACACCAGGAGTGAATTTGTTGCTAAGTCATCACCTCCAAGCCAGCGTGCCCGAACTCCTGACCAGAGGCTACCACAGCTGGGACAGGGACACATTATGCTGGGTTAAGGCAGACACATCCCACTAAATTAATTTCACCTAACGGCCATGTTGAACACTTCCCTAGTCCAAAGTCGCATACAGACACTGACTACACAATCCTCCTGACACTCACATCAGATGGGTGTCAGTTTAGCCTCCCCATATTACTGGTCAAGGAATTAGAGCAAGGAGATAAAGTGAGTCACTCAGGCCCTATAATGAGTCAGTGGAGGAGAGAAAACTGAAACTTAACCCCACTTGAGTCCACTATTTCACCCACCTCACTCCAGGTGAATGGGACCAGGGAGGCCCATTCTTTGCTCCAGTCTGACCCCCTTTTCCCTCCCCCCAGCTACCTTGCAGGAAGACCTACAGACATGGATGTGATTGCAAACCCAAATAGCATGGCTTGAGGGAGCAAACCATGCTGAGAGAGAAGAAAGACGCGTATGTCTGTGCACCAGTAGAGAGCAAGAAAGAAACAGAGGCTGAGGAAGGGAATAAAACAATATGTTCCAGTGACAGCTCCTGGCAAGGGGAATTCTGTTTTCTTAAAATAACACCCTCCCCCGCTCCTCCCACCTCTGCTCTCCTCTCCCCCGCAAAATGCCTCCCCTGCTTGAGAGGCCATGGCTCTAGCAGACAGAAAGCCAAAAGCTAACATCCCACAGAGGCCAAGCGATACGATCCCTCAGATTTGAGGCCTCTGTCCAAGGCCCAATTAATGATCCCATATGCCATGGACCTCCCTCCACCCCCATACTGGGCCCTTCCCAGGCCAGTAATTTGTAGTGGGTCTGATTCAAACTGACACACAGTAGTATCCACAGGCATGAAGTTCTGGTAACCCTGGGCCTCCTGTGGGTTCCCAGGAGGCAAGGAAGGCAGTTGGATGGGAACACTGACTCCTAATAATATTGTTTGCTTTATTTCCACCCCCTTCAGTGCATTTCATTTTTATTTTAAGAAATATTACCCCTGATGGAGCCGCTTTTGGAGAAACACAAAGTTAATCCAAAATATTTGAGCTGTTTGA